CTCTTGTAGCTTTCCAGACTTGTATCCGTTGGACTATTACAAATGGATGTGTAGCCGAGAGGGAATTCAATCAACACACCCATAATACTCTAAAATCTGAAAACTGGCATAACTAGCACAATGTCTAATATGCATAAATATAATCTGCTTCAAGCATGTCAACATTTCATGCCTCGTCTTGAAGCAGTCATAGATGCTAATGAAAGATTCCTTAAGTAGATGCGTCAAGAACCTCAGTATTATTGATGCCAATTTTTTCTCAAATAAAGCTCTTCTTCCGTGACGTATGTGTCTTTTACGATATTCAAGCAAATGTCTTGAAACAAGTGTGCAATCCTGTATATATATATATATATATATATATATATATATATATATATATATTACAGTCCACAACTTTTAGGACACCGTTAAAAAATTTTTAAATTGGTCCAAAATAGAGATTTTTGTACTTTACATAAGAGAAAGTTATTATACATTCTTTAAAAAAGTGACACATGATTTTTTAGTAGACATTTTATTATGACAGAAATAAAAAAAAATCTTTTATGATAAAGTTTTGCTCTCATCAAAATGTCCTCCTTAACCTCGATTATTGATAATTGAATTCATCCTTTTTTCAATGACTCTAAAAATTCTTTTTCACTTTTTTTTCAATCTTTTGCCAAGTTCATCCCATGCTAATTCTGGGAAATGGTTTCAAGTGTTTAAACCGTAATATATATATATATATATATATATATATATATATATATATATATATATATATTGATGATAGCCATGGGAGTTGACTGAGAGGTTCGCCCATGAAACTCTGGAGTCGGGATACTGATGGTAGCATAAATAACCTTACTAAACTGTTACTCATATTAATCATATATATATATATATATATATATATATATATATATACATTTTAACGTATTTATTAAGTAGATGCGTCAAAAATGTCTCAAGATTACTGATGATATTTTCTTTCTTGATTAAAGCTCTTATTTCATCATTTCGGCATCCCTCATTTAATTCATGCAAATATATTCATAGAACTAAGCAACGCGTTATATATTTGCATGGTTTAGATATATATGTATGATAAGACAAAGAACAAATCGGAAATGTTTATTAATATAACATGTTTCTCTTTAATTAAATCATCAGTGCGACATTTTAGATTGCTAAACTTTATCTTATCCTTCTGTCGAACTGCAATCCATATTTGATATATATTTGATCGCAACTCATACTCGACACTTCCAGAGTTTTGAAGCCACCCCAGAATTAGCATTGGATGAACATGATAGAAAAGTGAAACCTTTCTATCCCAAAAATAAAAAAGAGCGCTTAGAGTCCATGAAAAAAAAAATGGAATCAATTTTCAAACTTATATTTTGAGACACTTTTTCAACGAATGCCAAAAATTTGTACTGCAGTAATCAAGGCGAATATTTTGATGAAAGCAAATTTAAAAAAAAAAATGCTTTTTTTATCATAATAATATGTCTAATAAAAATCATGTTTACCTTTTTTAACCGTGTATAATTATTTTCTCTTATTTAAAGTACGAAATAACTAATTTTGGGGCCAATTAAAAAGTTACGAATGGAAGGATGGTGGCTAGTTATCATGTGAGTTTGTATGGTTGGTCTTAGATGTAAGGTCAGGAATGGTGGGACTAAGGTGTGTAGTTTATCGGAAAATTCTCCATGAAAATAGCGATAGAATAATGAGAGACTTGCAAAATTTTGGTTATCAGAAAAAGGCTGTATGGGGAAAATAATTCTCATACAGAAAGTGTAATTGGTAAAGTGTTGCCATTTTATATTTTCAATTTTGCACATGTGCATTGTTTGTTTTTGATTTTGTCGACTGTAAAATATAGTAATGTCAACTGAGCAACGTCTGTGAGAAAAAAGCACCATGAGACAATTCACTCCGCCAGAAATTTGGAAATGGCATGCTGTACTACAAGGCATTCTCACCGGAAGCTCCAATTCGAAAATTTCAGAGTGTTTGGGTTTCAATCTTAGGAGATTGAAGGGGATTCGTAAAGAGTTAGATGAATCTAATGATGATTACGAAGGTACGGCAGCTCGGAAAACTCATTCTGATTGTTCTGATAAGAAAAAACTCCCGAATTTCTTATGAGATGCTGGTTATGATTGATAACACTTCCTCCAAGTCCTCTAGCTCCGTAGCCAAGGAGGTAATGCTGCCATGGCTCAAGAGGGTGGCTGCTGGAAAACCATATTCCTGGCAACACGACTCTGCACCATGCCACACAAGCAGGAGAACGCAATCATGGCTGTCAGACAATTTCTTCGACTACATCACCCCTTATTTCTGGCCACCTAACACCTCAGATTGCAATACCCTTAACTTTTATGTGTAGATGCAGTTGAGCGAGTGTCCCAAAAACACCTTGTTACACCAAAGTTGAACTGAACGCAACCATTATGGCAGCATTCACGGACCTAAACAAGGAGACCAACCAGAAGCGTGGAAGGAGATTCTGAAGTCGTTTGGAGGGCATGATTGAAGCCAATAGCGATTTTATTGAATAAATGTGCTCTTTAGTATATCAAAATATTTGGGGGCAATTTAGGTAAATATATCTGTTAAAATAAGGTGTCAGTGTTAATTTCATTTCTGCTTAATTTAAACGACAATTTATCCCTCGCATGTGCGAACACACACACACACACATATATATATATATATATCGTATGTGTATACATTTTATATATATATATATATATATATGGAACCGTCATTTACGCTGACGTGCCTTACCAATCGGCCACAAAGGAGCGTTCGGTAGGCAAGGTCGAATTTATATATATGTATATAAATTTTCTTCGCCCACGGAGACGCTTTTGGTCTCTGTCAACAGTGAAAAGACAAAATTGGGCAACCTTCGTCCAGATATGGCACCAGTATTCCCTTTTCGGCCTGACCTGGCTCTTATAAAACTAGATTATAGAAGAAGGACTAAAATATTTCCTGAGACGGTACAGGGATCTGAAAAAGATTATTTTTCAAAACTTGACAGAACACAAAATGGCTCACGATAACTTATTTGACACCTTTAAGTTCCTATGAAACAAATGCGACGTCACATGCCTGTCAATACTTCCATGACAAACGTTCAAAGAAGCCCATTCTTTAGTGTTAACAGATTATACCAGTGGATCTCAACCTTTTTTTACCCATGGACCCCTTTCCCCTTCTTTTTATCTTGGTGGACCCCTTCATAGCTATTGGACATAAGAACAATTTTCTATTCTTCACTAATATAAATTTTAAGGTTTTAATTATCAAAGAAATAGTATACGATTAAGCTTTATTTTTAAATGAAAACTAATTTAATACAAATAAAATATTCTACTATAATTATAATAATAATTATTGTTACTATTTTTAATTAACACAACAATTGAGTTTTGCCTGTGGACCCCCGGAAATATTACATGGACCCCTAGGGTCCGTGTAGACCCCGGTTGAGAACCACTGGATTAGACCTTTACAGCCAAGATTCTCTCCTTGCTACGGCCACTTCTATACTTATTCTTTTGGTAAGAAGGATTCTCCAATCAGAAAACTTTTTTTTTCCCAAGAATCGCAATTTTGTCAGTTGGTGACAAATTATTTTCCATCCTACAAATCTTCTCCCACTATCGAAAAAGCGGCAAGCTTCTCTACCGCTATTTACATGAAAAGTGCTCAGACGAACTACATTCTTTAGTTCTACCAGTTCTAAACTCCACGACTAATTCTCACCATGCTACTCACATTATAGCGAAGCAATTTCGTATAGCCTTGATCAGATGGAAGTTTCACTCGAGCAGCTTCTGCCTACAAACGCTGCCTTGTGGAACCGACTCCCAAGAGGATGCGTTCCAGATCAGTACAATCTTAGCCTATTCAAATCTAGGGTTAACCGTTATCTTCGCCACTTATCCGCATAAACTGTATCTCTTACTCAGTAACCCTCTACCTTGAGTGGCTCCCGGGTCTTGTACAGCCCTGCTTGGATTCTTCCCCTAACTCTACAATATTAACGCCTTCACGTCTAGGATTGATTGATATCTATCCACCTCGTCATTTTCACTTCATACTTCATCCTTATACGTTCATATCACACACATCATTTAATAACTCTCAAACTTTAGTAGCTACTAGTCCTTATATTAGGTTAACCATTAAAAAAATGGTTAGTATGGATGAAACTCACAGTCACTTGGTTGCAGGTCTTGCTTGAAGCCGGGGATATTATGAAAGAATAAGAAGGCAACTCACAGACTTTAATCAGGTCTTTTGTAAAATAATTTTCAATCGGATGATTGTGAAATAATTGATTGTCTGCCGCTTCCCGATTATTTTCTTCCTCTTGTCAAGTAATGAAACATACCTCTTGCTTTTATTTTAAAATATCCGCCATTTTTTTTAATCGGGTTAGAACAGTTTGGATAAAAGTCTAATTTTATTTGGTAATAAAAAATATTCTATATTCTAATTAACGCGAATATTGAACGAACTTTAAGGTTTAATAAGCCGACTGCATATTAAGCTATCACAACGGGATGAATGCCCATCAAAATGCGATCACATCAAGTGAGAGAAAACCAATCTTTACAATCGTGCTGTGACACGGACTAAAACTTCGCCAAGACACGTGTATTTCTTCAAAAAAGCTCCGCAGTGTATTCAGGAATATTCTGAAAGAAAATCGTGCGGGAAAGAATTTCATCAGAAAGGCTGAAAAATATCCACGCACTCACACGTACACACACATACACGTACGCATGCGCGCACAGTTACCTGCACAGAAGAAATAACATTTAAAGAAAATATATTGACGCATTCTAATAGACACGCATTAGCACTCACAGAAGCGCATACACAAATCTATCCACGAAAGTATGTAATGTCTGGCGGCCAATGATTTCTCTCTGATCTTTTTGTCCGTCCAAGTTGGCGTGTCTTGTGTGCGACAACCCGAAATGTCACAGGGAGTAGGCGTCACTCGAGATAAAATGGCGTTATGTCAAGTCTGCCACAGCATCTCTCTTGTATTTTTGTCTTTTGTGTTGGACACGTTAATCAATGTTTCGCTTTGGCTTCCGGTTGACAAATGCGTCTTCCTTGCAAAAGATATTCGCCTTTTCTTTTTAATTCTTTGTAAGAAATACGGTAAAAAATTGTTGTATCTTTTCAAATTTATTTTTACAACATGCAAAAAATGGAAGAACGATTGTGTATTAACATTTTCAAAATGCTTTTTGAAAATACAAATTTATTTCTGGATTCCACAAAATACAGTGATATGAAGAATTCTGATAACATGGATATTTTTATGCCATATTCCTCCAGAAAGAGGCAATTGTGTTTCAATCCAGATTTGATGAATAATCATGGAAAATATAAATAAAATGAAGTTCCTTCACATCGAATTCTAAAAAAGTTGTGTTGTACTAGAGTTGTTACCAACAAAGCTAGAGAACCCAGGCTCCCTTGATATTTAAACCATAGTGTAATCCTGTATGTTTGGAAATAAAACAAGGATTCAAACGATATATCCATATATCCATATATATATATATATATATATATATATATATATATATATATATATATGAGTGTGTGTGTGTGTGTGTGTTTGTGTGTGTGTGTTTAGGTAGCAATCTTTCTTTCATGCACATTTCAATGAATACGACAGACTAGATGCTTTAATTTAGTTTCTTTTTTTTATATACAATTTCTTATGCGATCTAATATTTTTTCCTTTTCAGATGATAAATTATTTAAGAAATGCTCGCATGTTCTTTTATCCGAGCGCTTTCGGCTATACATTTAGCCATTTTCAAGGATTAAATATTTTAACTGTTAAATAAGAAATAGTTTGTTGCATGTATGTATTTAGATAATGTCTTCATTTTTCAAAACATGCTCAAGATATTGTGTCCATGCTCATAGTTGAGCACCTTGTCTTTCGAATTCAATGAAATATGCATATATACATATATATATATATATATATATATATATATATATATATATATATATATATATATATAAAGATAACGATACATATTTTTATTTATGAATAATATTATTGGGGAAATTGTATGACAGTGAAAAAGTTTACTTGTGACGCATTTCGTCCTTCAGGACTTTATCGTGCTAAATTTGTTATATTGCTAGGACTACACATGCGCACGACAGAGAGGTACTGGAAATTTTAGAATTTCTTTGTGCCCTGGTCCATACAACACTTCACCATTCCTGGCACATGGAATACCTACTTACAAAAAGTGTGGAATACCTGCTTACAACAATGATGAAATCAAGAAAAAAAGACGCTAAATGATTTCAGCAAAATATCTCTCTATATTTCTGAGATGAGGTATTATTTACACTGTTTACATTATTGTGACTATCGTCCTCATCTGTTTTGCCATATTTATCACTACGTTTCGGCCGTTGCACACTCCGGCCTTCTTCAGGTGGTTGGAATGTCGAACTGAACCCTTTATTTCGCTCGCTTCGTTAGACTTTTCTAGTTTCATGTGCCATGTCTAATGGATGTTAGTTATCAGTTATCTCCTGTGTATTCCCCTCTCCAAGTTCTCCACTGCCTTAAACAGGTATTGAACTCACACTCTTTGGGTCCTGTCACTGGATCTAAATAATGCCTTTATGCACTGTGCCATGTGTCTTTGAGTGGATAACTGAAACTATAACAGTCTACCCCAGCGAGCGAAATAAAGGGTTCAGTTCAACATTCCAACCACCTGAAGAATGCCGGAGTGTGCAACGGCCGAAACGTAACGACAAATATGGCAACAAAGATGAGGACAATAGTTCGAATAATGTAAATAATTTCAGTTAAATATATTTAAAAAATTCTAAAATTCCCATATGGGCACTAATATGTAAGCTTATGTGTATAAACATTTATGTATATAGTCATGAGATTGTCTTGCCTATATCATTTATAGTTTTAAATTATTAATTATTTTTATATTAATATTTTTGTTAATATTAACTTTATTATTTTTATCCTTATCTATATATATATATATATTTTAAGTTGTTTAAATTTGTTCTTTATTTATCTCTCGATTTATTGAGTTACCAAATTTATGTTTTATATTATTAATTTTTTATTTATTTAACTTCCTTTATTTTATTGGTGCCGGATGTTTTTATTATTATTATTATTATTATTATTATTATTAATAATAATAATAATAATATTTTGAAATTATGATGATTATAATGCGATGACGATTTTTTTGCTGTCTGAAATGATATGACTATTGGACATATTACTGCATTTATTTTAATTCTGGTCACCGCCCTCCCTTGCCATATATATTAACTTATTCAGCTATCTAAGAAAAAATTATTTATAGGTCAACTTATCGGTTCACAATGAATTCTTCCTTCTTTCCATTTTTTCTTTCCCCTCCCTCTCTCTCTCTCTCTCTCTCTCTCTAATCTCTCTCTCTCTCTCTCTCTTCCCTAAATTTAAAAAATATTTTTTTTGTTTTTCTTTATCTTTTACTCTCCCTTTTTCTTTTATTCGGTCTGAAAAGATGAATATTTAAATAAATATATCCCTGAAATAAATTACAACCGAAATGGATTTTTAGTGAATATCTGTACTTATATATATATATGTGTGTGTGTGTGTGTGTGTGTGTGTGTGTGTGTGTGTGTGTGTGTGTGTGTGTGTGTGTATGCGTATGTGTGTGTGTGTTACAAACCTGGGTATATGATCACGAAAGTGTTATAAATTATTGACAACACGAAAAAACTTTCATGAAAATATAAAGTTTCGAAAAAATATCCATGTATGCATTTCTCCGATGAGGCTTCATCAGATCGAAGACAAAAATGAGTTGCATATATATATATATATATATATATATATATATATATATATATATATATATATATATATGCGTGTGTGTGAAAATATATAGAAAATAGGAAAGAACTCGTTAGGTAAATAATCCAAAGTTCTTTAGTATTTTTTATTATTATTGTTAAAAAACAGTGCTCGATACAAAAGTAAAGCCTAAATATAATTATTTATTTAAACATATGATTCTATCGCTACATAAGAGTTCTCATGTTTCAAAACAAGAACCGAAAACTTCAATATAATTATTTGAATTAAATTGAATTAAAGTGCAAAGCTCTGTTCCATCTTTAAATTTCGCTTGAAGATGGAACAGAGGTTGGTACTTTAATTGAATTTAATTCAAATAATTATATTGAAGTTTTCGGCTCTTGTTTTGAAAAATGAGAACTCTTATGTAGCTTTGGATTATATTTTTAAATAAATAATTATATATACATACATATATATATATATATATATATATATATATAGAGAGAGAGAGAGAGAGAGAGAGAGAGAGATAATATTTGTGGAAAATATACATACATATGCAAAATATATAATTACCCATACATGTATATTTTCAGAAAAAATTCCAAGAGAAGAATCCAGGTAGAACTCAATGTCCAGGACAGAGTAAGGATATAATAAAAAGGCCTAAACACTAATATTCCATGGTCATAATTTATTCCATTGGAATCGTAAATACGATCCCAAAAGAAAACAGAAAAAAAAACCTCAATTACAAAGCGGCCCTTTAAGTAAACGCAATTTTACTTTCCTTCGTCCAATCTCTCTCCCTCACCTCGTCTTTCCCTCCCTCTTATTCTAACATTAAATTCTATATAGTGTGTGTATATCACCACGAAATGTATCTTTATGCATTAGACATCCGTCAACATTGATTCTTTACTCTTATTTAAACCCCTCCTCCCATATCTCCTAAAATTCTCTCTGTTAATGTTTAATCTCCCTCCTCCTCATACTTACACTTTCTCTAAATTCTGTTTTTATTTCCGGAGTTGGTTTTTTTTTCTGTTTTCTTTTTGAATTTGTAGGTCTGATGAATTGGATCGTATTTACGATTCCAATGGAATAAATTATGACCATGGAATATTAGTGTTTAAGCCTTTTTATTATACATATATATATATATATATATATATATATATATATATATATGTAATGACTGTTTTTACATATATATATATATATATATATATATATATATAATGACTCAGTTTCTTACCCACATGGGGAGCAGCCACTGATATCCCGCAAGGTACATTCAGTTAAAATGTGTTTCATTCAGCCCCTGTAAGACATAAGTGCTACAAGGAATCCAACACGAGAAACTATTTGAAAATACTGAAACTGTCAACATAATGTTCTGCCTTAAAGAAATAGGTTTATACCAAGATATGTAACACCTACGATAGGTCGCCTACAAACTATATATCTATAAAACATACGTTTACCCTGTAAGTATAAGATTATGTACAACATATCTGTAGTTGAAATTGTCGGTTAGTACACTTGACTCTGCGAAAAGCCTTCGCTGGAGCGGGGTGCTCTTTCACTCTATAAATAGGCAATGATATTCTCACTCACTCTCTACTTGGTCCTTCTTTTAGCTCTGATATTGAAATATCGTCACATTCGCACGCTTTTTTTGTCCTCTTTACATTTTTGAACTCTCTCACACACGCGTCTATTACACACACAGTGACATTCTCCTTATAACTTTTTTATTTACCTTACAATTGTCTACACATGTAATTCATAATAATAATACATTGTCGTTTGTTTTTGAATTTATTGTTTTGTGTTAGTCATTTTACCTGGACTCACATTGAGTCCGCCAATATTGTTTGCGGGATAAATGTTCTTCCAGGAACCCGTAAATATTTACTATTCAAAGTGTTGATTCCCTCAACATAACGATGATTAATATTTTCAAAAATATTAGCATCTCGGAACTAAGGTGTAAAATTGAGTGCCAAATATTCAGATTTCGACATAGATATTGATATGCTACTAAACAAATACAACTAACCAATTATTTCCCTATAATGTTCTTAGATAAACTTTTCATACGCAGTAGTAAAAGTTTAAGTATTGTTCTGATTTCACACTGATCAGTAAATGAAAATGATTTTAATTCATTATTCAATCATTTATCTGTCCTTATTTTTATCTCATCAAAATCATTCATCTGTCATAATGGAATTTCATAATTTTCACTTTATTCTTCAGTTTCTTTCTTTTTTTTTTTCTTTTTTTTTGTAGCCGAGCTGCTAATCGATCTAATCAGTAAACTGATTTCTTTCCCGAGGTTCATTCACTTGTCCCTTCGCACGGTCAATTGTCAATTGTTTTTCCTCCTTTTCTACATTAATTAATTGATTCTGTTTAGCCGCCATTTTTATTCTTGACAAGATTCATTAGCCACACATCACAAAATGTCCGTTTTTACATTTTACCAACTCTCACGTATTTCTTCTACTTTTTTCAAAAATACCTATTCTGTTCATACGAATCTATCCCAAAAATCTTGTCGGCATTAAATAACCCATTGAGGTTGATATGCCGTAAAACAAAATACACCAAAGCAAACCAAACCTTTTTCTTCTTTTATTTACTTTCTAATTGAAAGGCACTTTCAAATTGCTTACTTTTCTTTCTTCTTTTCTCTCATTAATACTTCTTCTTTTCTTTGCTTTTCAAACTCAACACCCCTTTGAATTTATATCTTACCCTTTCCAAATTATATATTTTTTCTTTCTTTCTTTCTTTTTTCTTTCTTTCTTTCTTTCTTTCTTACATTTTTCTATTATTGTCTTTTCTCCCCCGCTTCTTTCCTTTTTTCCTTCCTTTTCCTTCCTTTTCTTTTCATTTCTTTCTTTTTTTTTCCTTCCTTTCCTTTCTTTCTTATTTTATTATTTATACCCTTCATTACTCTTATTCCTCCTTTCTTAACAGAGCTTACAGCCATGTCGTCGATTTTCATATGGTCACCGAAGTTAAGCAACATCGAGCTTGATCAGTACCTAAAGTGGTAACCGCTTGGAATACCAAGAGCTGTAAGCTTGAATGTATGGTTGATGCAATGGATAACGGGTCGGAATTTGAAGTCTGAGAACCGAGTTCCAATTCCAGTCGGTTTCACATGTGCAAATACCTTTAGGAAAGGTATGAATCCAATCTTCTCCCAGCAGCTAATCATTATTATCGCCCAATCATTTAACAAATTCAAAAAATGGCTTTGAATAACCTTCAGAAGATCGATAAGCCGTACAAAAACAAATCTGTCATTGAATAAGTGACTTTCAGTTCAAGATGCTGTTCTTTGTCTAATATTTTCTGCTTTTACATGCCGTTTTCCTCCAAAGGAATGGCTCTCAACAGCTTCCTGCTTTTTTTTTTGTTGATCTGAGCAAAGTTTGATTCTATACAATCCCACTTTGTTACCGCTCGGTTCCCCATCCACACAAGTGTGAATCTCTGTATTTTATTCCCAAGCTGTCGCCCGTCTAGCTACTGACCAGGCTCGACGTTGCTTAACTTCGGTTATCGTAAGATAATCGATGTTTCAACGCGATATAGTAGTAAGCCACTGAGAAGCATAAAGAGAAACTTAAACAATAAATTGTCAGAGACTGAGGCATGTCTGCTATTGAATTATTGAGATTTTCATATGTAGAGACCACACGAGAACGGGTGATTCAGCGTGATATGGCCGTAAACCTGTCGTATGAAAAGTCAAAATCTTGATTATTTCCTCTTTTAGTCGCATATTGTGTGCATTTTAATCGTTCTGCTTTTGAATGCCTTCAAGTGACGCCATCTTTGTTATGTGTTAAGGTTCTTTGAATGCGATTCTTTTGCGTCAGTCTACGATATACTACGAAAGACGGGCCCTCTTCAAAGCCATAACGGCTTATTTACTTTACATATCAGTGTTTATGGTTTATTTAATGCAGAAACATAAATATGTTTAACATAATTTTATGGCTTCATCTAAATATATTTTGAACGCAAGTGTATGCATTGAACTGCAGATAAAATGTATTATTGGTCCTTTTGCTACAAAATGTATTGTTGGTAATTTTATTATAAAATGTATTGTTTTAAAAAGTTAAAAGACGTGTTATTTTGATTAGAAATATGATTTCACAGACAATTACTACAGTTGATTATTCCATTTGGATGCCCATAACCTGAGGCCCTATACGCGATTAACTTAATCAATAAATACCTAAGCCCATCGATGAAGAAAATGAGTTAGCAAGCACAACAGGTAACCAATTTAATAGCTTATCTGTGTTGATAGCAGACACGAAAAAAACTGGATCAACACTTAGATAAGGTAGTAAAGGTAAATGAGAAGAAAGGACAATCCATGAATAATAAGAAGATGTAATAAATGGTCTTAGTAAAAGGAACAGCTGAAGAAGGGGTCTAAGTATTTGAAACGTCTGAGTCAAGTACAGAATTTAACTATTGGGAAATGTTATAGCAGAATACGGAAAATATGGGAGCGATATGTGAAGGCACTCTGGAAGAGCGAAAGACGATTTCCTAGTTCTAAGCAAAGTATAAAGAGACATGGAAATTTCGTTAGAATCAAAGGAGTGTTGAACTAAAGAGTGCCCTACAAAAATCAGTGAATTTTAGATTTACTATACGTTAAGAAAAAATAAGTAAGATTTTAAAAAATAACTATATATTTTACTATATGAATGAACTAAAAAATATAAATGAATATTAAATTTCTATCTTTTGTTTTTGTTTGAAATAACTATAACAAAAATTCCAACAATTAAATAAACTGTACCAAATTCCTTGTTTTTTTTTTTTTTTTTTTTTTTTTGTGGGGCACCTTATAGTATGGAATACGAATCATCATACATGTCAGGGAATACCGGAAAATATTCATACAGATGAAGATGAAAAGTGAAAATACTATGGACGAAACATGTGAGCATTTTGAGGAAAATGTTAAAGAAAAGCACACTTTGGCTCAGCATAAGATGGTTGATATTCCTGGGGTAAATAATAAGGAAGGAGGGCTTGGAGAATTTGACACACAATATTGAAAGCGAAAGGGACAAACGGAAACATCAAATAAGCAACCTGATAAGTGTGTGCTAATGGATGGCAGGACAAGAACTTGAAAAAGATGGTAAGAAGACATGCCTTGCTCAGTGGTACAAAGTATAAGTATGAAGCGATATGATCCCCATATTCTGATAAAGAAAAAGAAGTAAAAGAAAAGATGTAAAAGAAGTACAGAAAGATGAAGAAGAAAAAAGAAGAAGAAGTATATATTCGTAAATTAAAATTTATTTTTTTTCTCCGTTTGACGTTGTTTCTTCTTTTAGAATTCCTCTATATGTTTGTGCTTATTCTTTAAAATTTCCCTCCGAGTTATTTTCATTTAATTTCTGTCTGTTTTACCTTTGATCACCGTCTCTTTTTTCCTATTATTTATTACCTATCACCATTTTTCTTTTTTTACTCCTTGTTTCCTTCAAGTAATACTCACATTTCTTTAATTATCTCACAAAAGTTTTATTTTTAAACAAACATCTTCTCGTTTTATTCCTTCATTTCATCCCTTTTGTTCTGCTTTATTCGTTTCCTCTATTCATATTCTTCAAACATTTATCCTATTTAAATGTTATCTGCATGTGATTGAATATATGCTGTCCTTTAAATTTCATATTAAAATAAAATACGCTTAATTCATTACTTTGATTATAGCTTCTTACTTTCTTCCCTTCCGTCTCTCTCTCTCTCTCTCTCTCTCTCTCTCTCTCTCTCTCTCTGTGTTCTTTAATTTTCTCAGTCTTATTTCCCCTTTTTTGTCTTTTCTTCATTCTTATTTCCTTCTTACCATTCTATACCTCTTTCTCCTTCTTTCCTTTCTTTATATTCAATACTATTTTTAAGTATCTCACGTATTTTTCCATCTTGTCGCGGTCGCCGATTATCCGCTCCTTAGAAAGCCGACCTTGACCTTCACAACTCCTGATCTCGCAGATCTGGCCTGGATCAAAGTGTAGTACGCTGCCTTTGTGAACTTCCGGTGCTTTTGTCGAGAGCGTTACTCTTCGGTGCGATCCGCCCTGGAAGGTGTAACACCTCTCTGACCTGCTTCGCCTAGTGATACACTCTGGCGCGATACCGTTTCCGCGGTCTATCCGCCCTGTGGAGTCGTATTACTGTTCTGCCTTGGCCCTGTTTAGGGACTCCGTCTTCGCTATTCGACCGAACCAGCTACGTTCGCCAACCAACCCTAAACTACCGGACCAGACCAGCTACATTCGACCGAACCAGCTACGTTCGACAACCAACCCTAAACTACCGGGCCAGATCAACCCTAAACTACCGGACCAGACCAGTTACATTCGACCGAACCAGCTACGTTCGCCGACCAATCCTAAACTACCGGACCAGATCAACTATATTCGACCGAACCAGCTACGTTCGCCGATCAACCAGTCACACCGGACCCAACACCGATGTAAACGTGTTAATAAATTCGACACTTTTGTTCATAACAAAAACCTTTGCCTTTGTCCCGTCATTGTCTTGGCTGTTCACATTTATCGTACATAAAACATTGCGGGGGCGACATCCTACTCGGCCCCGCAACAATCTCCATTGTTTCTTATCACACTTGTCTTTTTTATCTCCTATATTTCTCTTCTTCTCTTGCCATCTTTCTCTCTTATTCTTTTCGTCCTTTCCGCCAATTAACCTTCTTGCTTTTTCTTTTATTTCTCTTCTGATTCATTCCTTCTTTTTACTTCACATCCCCCCTTTCTTTTATTTTACTCCTGTTTCTCTTTCCAAATTTTAACCCGCATCATTCTGGCGCTAATTTAAAAATTAAAACCATCTTTTTTTCAATGTATTGTGACAATTTCCTTAATGTATTTTCTTTATTTCAGATGAAAACATGGAATTTTTTAAATAAATTTCTGTGAAACTTTCACTTGCCAAAATTATTTTATAATTATACTTTAACATCTGTCTATATTTCTGAGAGGAGGTATTGTAGCTATTTACCTTATTTACATTGTTCGGGCTATTGTTTTCATCTTTATTATCATATTCACGATGTTTCGGCTGTTGTACGTTCCGGCCATCTTCAGGTGATATACGTTGGAATATGAAAATAAATTATAGTTCAGGATTATAACAGAAAAGTGTCAGTTTAAAATTGAGCCAAGGATGATATGAATGAATCTCGTCACCATTTGTTTTGGTTCTATTTTTATCCTCTTCCTTTTCTCCTCTTCCTTTTCTCCTTTCCTTGTTCCCCTCATGCATTTTAATAATACATCTTTTACTCTCCGTCTCTTCAAGAAGTTGACGATTATGGCTCTCCACAATTTCCTTTCCTTTTTTGCTCCTAGTAAATTGTGTCTATTTATTATATCTCCTAAACCTTACTCTGCCAACCATTTACTGAAATTTATTAACTAAGTTATGCGCTGTTACCGTCTGCCTCTAATTGCCTTTAGGATGCCCTGTGAGTGTTAAAGTTTCCAAATCCTCTTTCTTTATTATGTAGGCTGGAAATTTCAACTGCTTGTTTACGATGTTACGTATAGTCTCTTTTTTAGTTTCATTTTCTCAAAAACTTCATCGTTACTCACAAGTCCATTTTATATTTTATATTATTCTCAGCATTCTTCGGTAGAACCAGATTTCTTTTGCTTCAAGTCCCTTCTTCATTTGTGAGGAGATAATCCAGTATTCACTGCCATATAGAAGGATTGATAATAGTTCAATACTTTTTATTTGTCTCTAAGGAGATTTTCCTGTTTCTTAATACTAAGCCTTCGGATTTTGGTGTCGCCCTTTCTGTCCTCTGGGAAAACGCTTACGAGATATTTAAATTGTTTGACTTGTTTGATTTTGGTATCTCCAATTTGTAATTTACATGTTGGGTTCTCCCTTTTGCTTTCTCACTTATCCAACTTTTCAATTCTTTAATAACTTTAATTTTCATATTTGTTTAAATCGTTAATGCCCAAAAATGCGACAGTGGGTTATAGTGAGAAATTTATAATGAATAATGAATTCCATGTTTTTATAATTTATAATTTATAATGAATATAATTTATAATTTTATAATTTATAATTTATAATGAATTCCATGTTTTTAAACCTATAATTTATACTGGATTTTCCATGTTTTTTAAACTATAATCAACAGGATACTAATTTAAAATTTTTATAATTGATACCGGGTTTTGCTGTAAAATTTTCTGGATTAATTATTTTGTTTATATTTACTTTTATACATTTTGTTCTTTCGCTATTTCCGTCATACTTCAATCTATCTTATATATTCACACATCTATCATTCCTCCATGCTTCGAATATTGCTGCCACATATGGTTTGGTGCTCCTGCTATATATTTAGAAATCCTTGATAAAATCCAAAGAAGAATCTGCAATGTTATTGGTCCTGACCTGGCATCTCGGCTTCAGTCACTTTTCTACCGCCGTGTAATGTAGCGACCCTGAGCCGTTTCTATAAATATTTTTATGGTAATTATTTTGTTGAGGTTACTTCTTTGCTACGATGAATTTACAAATTTAAGCTCATAATTTGGCATATAGGTTTCATCATTTTATAATTGAAATCACAAGATGCAATCCTAAATTCTATGCTAACAGTTTCTCTTCTCTTGAGGAACTTTTCCCTCATGGGGGACTCTCTTCTAACCTCTTGATTTCCAATCAATTTTGATCTTCGAAAATGTCAATGCAATATCACTGGTTATTTTCTATCTGTTTTATCCCGGTTTTCTGTTATTCTCTCTCCTTAATAATGTTTTTCTTTTTCTAATATTCTTTCACGCTTTGTAAACTCTTGCGTCTCCGTGGCTTTATTGCCTTGCTTGGGGTGAAATTATAATGATAAAATCATTTTTAGTTATATGTAAGAGTTTTTCTTTCGCATTCCAGATATCTTTCTAAATCATTATTTCTTTGTCAGTCAGTTATGTTCCATGCGTGATACACGCTTAGGCGATCATGTATCTTTCGATACATGACTGACGAGGCAGATTTTTCCCCGAAGTAAGCTGATATTTCTTAATGCGGTAGACCAGTTACCATGCAAGGCTATAAAACCTGGTCTGTCCTGCTATTTACCCATAGCTGGAGGTGAGATGAAGAGAATTCATACCTTTCCTAAGGTTATTAGCATATAAGTCAATGTAATGGTTTTGAGTGGAATTCGAACTCGACTCTCCGAATCCTCAATACATTACTCCTCTTGTATATATTTGTATGTATTTCTTGTATATATTCCATATTTTCTTGTTTTGAATTTTCTTTTAAAATTTTTTTCGAATTTCTTTAAAGTCAGTTTATATTAAATTTTGATCTTCACCTTTCTACATTCTTTCACTTCTTACATCATAACGTTTATATCTTATTTCTTTAAAATTTTATTCGAACAGTGTTTCTTTCCTTCTGTCTTCTTTTCATCTTTTCTTCTCTTTAACATATTTGTATTAAACGATTCAAAACAAAATATGCGAATCGGCATTTTTTTTTCAGTTTTCTCCAATCAAAATAAAATATTGAGAACAAAAGATGCAAACATTTTCCGTTGGCAGCATACGATTTCAAAATTACAAGCTTTCTTTTCTCTCACACCTACTCCCATTTCCCCACCCTTCTCTATCCTTTTGTCTCTTTTCTTTCCCTTTGCCCCCCTCTCCCCATTGTTTTAACGTTTTACACAAAAGCCATCTTACATTTTACCTTATTCGATAAAGCTGAGAATATTCTCTTGCGACCTGAAGAAAACATCAGAGAGACAAAAAAGGGTCTGAATTAAGACATTTACGAGATGTTGCCATGGGCAAGAATTGACAAATATAGTTTGAAAACTGAATTGTATGTCAGTTTGCCATTTTTTCAACGGATAAAAATCTTAAAAGAGATCCTTATTTGTTTCTTTACGTTTAAATATCAAACCCTCAAAGAATATCAGAAATAAAATAAAATCCCCTGCACATCGTTTGATGATGTTAAGGCTTTTCTGTTATATTGAATTTTCATTTGTAACTTAGATTCACCTTAAAACAATGCCAAAAGAGTCGAATAAGACAAAGAAATAAAACTTCTGTTCACACTCATTCTATGAATTAATCTCTTTTCCTGTTGCTTTTTCTTTGCGAAAGTTAACGCATAGAAATCTACATATATATGTTCCCGAGTATAACCATTGCTTGAAATGCTTAAGATTCGATTTCATCTGTGATTTGATGATGATGATGATGATGATGATGATGATGATGATGGTATACTAAGCGAGGACGATTATGTTTTTTTCTTCAAGTGTGGAGAGGCTATGCACATGTCTAATCCAATTTTGTGAACAACGAACACAAGCATCCCCAAAAATGAACTTGTCAACATCCTTGGCTTTTTATATCAGATTTCACATCAGAGATTTCCCATCAGAGATTTCCCTTCTCCAAGACTAAGTGTGATGTTTTAACAAGGAATAAGGGTCTCTCACGCGCGGTGGACATTATGTATGCCAGATGGCTGTTGGCCTCGCAAGAAGATACATCCGCCCATTGACACGTTTTACTTGTAATCGCATTGGGTGTCTAACCACGCTTCTGACCAGAAAAAGCCTAATGATATAACCAGTTTAGTTGCCGAAAACCTTACCAGGTGGAAGATAGTACTAGATTATAAGCTAACAGTCATAATGTGGACCTTGTATATATATATATATATATATATATATGTGTGTGTGTGTGTGTGTGTGTGTGTGTGTACAGTGTAACCCGGATATAAGAGAACCGGATATAAGAGAAACCCGAATATAAGAGAGATTTTCTCAGGTCCCAAATTAGAGCCTGTGTTACCTAAACAAAATAGACCAAACCGGATATAAAGAAAACCCGGATATAAGAGACTTCTTCTCCGGTCCCAACAACTCTTTATTATCTACACTGATATATATATATATATATATATATATATATATATATATATATATATATATATATCGGTATGGTAAGAAACATACGTTTACGCACATATAATTCCAGGTACATATATATTTTTATATTTTTACTCAGGTGTTATAAAAACAGTGATCAATGTTATATAACAGAACTATTAGTATATAATAATGAATTCACATATCGACGTGGAAAATTATGCATATTTACTAATATATATATATATATAATGTGAATGAAAAGCCCAGATGAAAATATACTTAGTTTAGCCGGCGCGTTTTGTCATTCGACCGACTTTACCAAGGCAAAAAGTTTTTCAATTTATCCAGACGAAATGAAAATAAAGAGGTAAAAAAGAAAAGAAGAAAAAAGAAAGAAAAAAATTAAAAGAGCAAAAAAGAAAAAGAAAAATGTAAATGTAGGAATTTTTTTATAAAAAAAAACTTATATTGAATTTATTTTTTTTCCAATTTTAATATTTTTTTTTCTTCACACTTTTTTCTTTCTTCTGGATAAATTGTCTCCATTAAAAAACTTCGTTCTGAGGAGATAAATATTTGTATATTCATGAAATAAATTATAACCGAATGAATTTTTAAAGAACATATGTACTTTTCTTCACTGTAAACTTTGAAGAGGCCTGGTGGGAAGACACATCTTTGTCTTACGCACCTATTCTATTATATAATCATATATCTCCGAATGATATCAGCTGGTTACTGCCATTTGTATCCAAAAACCTATAGAAATATGCTTGTTGGATAAATTCTTATATTTTAGTGTTCATAGGCAAAAGCTGATTATTAATATTTCAACGGGTTTCGTTTAGTAAAATGTATACAATCTTTTAAACGATGTCGAATTTACTAAACGTCATGTTAGAAGAGCAAATTTCAAATAAATTAACATATAGAAGTCGTCAAAAACTCAGCCATCTGATTGTCTCAGCTTTCATTCCATACTATATGTTTCTCCAATCCAGTGCAGACGATTGATCCTTGGCGAGTAGAAGATGCTTACTACGCATGGCCGAAGTTAAAGTTTATTTTGTTTTACGCCATATCAACCTCAATAGGTTATTTAACACCTGCGCGATTTTTAGGATCGGTCCGTATGAATAGAATATGTATTTGTAAGAAATCAGTTTGTAGATCAGGTTTCATTGACGTATTTTTATGAAGAAATTTTTTGTAGAGAGTCAAGTGTATTGCTGGTAATATTTTTTTCAAAAAAGGAATTGCTGGTATTTTTCTATAAAAATGTATTTTTTATACTTCCATAGTATCTGTCTATATTTGTGAGATTCTGTATTATGTACATTATTTACATTATTCGGACTATTGTTCTCATCTTTGCCGCCATACGCTCCGGATGTCCTCAAGGACACATGGCACAGTGGATAAAGGTGTTGGTTAGATCCGGTGACAGGACCCAAAGAGTGTGAGTTCAATACCCGGTTAAGGCAGTGGAGAACTTTCAGAGGGAAATTAGCAGGAGATAACTGTTAACTGACATCCACTAAACATAGCCAGTGGAACTAGGACAGTCTACCCCAGTGAGCGTAATAAAAGATTCAGTTCGACATTCCAACCACTTGAAGAAGGCTGTGATAAATATGGCGACAAAGATGAGGACAATAGTCCAAATAATGTACTTTCGTAGCGTTTTGATGTCAGTTTGGGTTTAACCATTTGCCCATTGCCGAGGCTCTAACAGCTGCTACCACCCCCGGGTCAGGGTGAACCTGGGAACAACAGCAATTAAGAGGTAGTTCCACGCTCCTCAAAACAGAGGCTTAACTACAGGATGTATTTTATCGTCATGCCAAGAAAGCACGCATGACCGAGATGATACATTTAAACCATTGTTTTAACATAGAAGAAAGGATGAAATTAACAGTAAACACTTTAGCAGTGTTAACCAAATCACTTTCAGTTGGTTTTCAAATATTGCTGACGCCTGACAGGGAAACTTTTATTAATTGAGCTCCGAAATTACTTGAAAAACAAACCGTATTACAGTTTCAGTTATCAATCTTGTCATCTATTGTTTTCTGTAAAAATCGGGTGTTTGTGGTTGATTCTAATTTCCACAAGAAATCTTGATCGATTGGTAGATTGATAAATTAGGAGATTGATTGATGATGTCCGACCTTGTGTTGCAAGTGGCAAAGAAATGTTTTCTTCGTTCCCTGTGAGTTTGTTGTCTTCCAAATTTCAACTGAGTCTTGTTGATTTTTTTACTTAGTCATTTGTTTCCCAAACCTCGACGAATGTGAGATAACAAGTGATACATTGTGAATAATCATTTCGGTAATAATTACATACCTAACCAAATAATGTTGTATATGTAGAAGAGGTGCAACCCAGACCATGGAAATTGTGATCGGATTTCTCATTCTATTCAGACATCAAGTCACCTACAGTTTTGCATATAGCGTCGGGCATTTCGCACTTCCAATCACTCCAGCACCTGACAAAGGCACCAAGTTATTATCCAATAGACTCCTTGTTTCTCCTTCTGAAAAAGGTATCTAATATACAGATTGCTATGGGTAAATTGTCGACACTTTATATTTTTAATTTCGCACACTCGCCTTGTTTGATTTTGATTTTGCCGACAGCACAGTCTATCAGGGTCAGTTGGGCGCCGTCTGTGAGCAAAAGAGCACCATGTCGTCATTCACTTCGCCAGAAAATTGGAAACGACATGCTGTACTGCTTGGCATTCGTAACAGAAGCTCCAATATGAACATTTCAGTGCGTTTGGGTGCCAATCTTAGGACAGTGCAGAGGATTTTGAAAAAGTTGGATGAGCCTAGTGGTGATTACGAAGGTGTTTGGAGTGATCTCTAGTGATGGCGACGTTATGCTTTCATTCATCTTCCCACAGGGCTTCAGACCTAACACGGAGGTCTACATCAAGTGCCTTAAGGAGATAGTGCTGCCCAGGGTCAAGAGGGGGGCTGCTGGAAGACCTTATGTCGGACGACATGATTCTGCACCATTCCACACAAGCAGGAGAACTCAGTGATGGCTGTCAGTTAAATTTCTGCGAACACATCACCCCCTTACATCTGGCCACTGCAGATTATGTGTGAGGCACAGTTGGGCAAGAGACTCCTTGTAAGACCGAAGATAAACTGAAATCAAAGATTATAGCAGCATTCACCAACTTAAAAAAAGAAGAACATCAAGAAGAGTTGCAGGAGATTCCGAAGTCGTCTAGAATTCGTGGTTGAGGCCAATGGCAACTTTTATTAAATACATTTATTCTTTTGTATTTCAAGATATATTTGCGTAATTTCGGTAAATATATCTGATAAAATGAGATATCATTGTTATTTTTATTTTTGCGTATTTTAAAACGAAAATACATCTCTCTCTCTCTCTCTCTCTCTCTCTCTATATATATATATATATATATATATATATATATATATATATATATATATATATATATATATATATATATGTGTGTGTTAAAAAACAATAAAATGTTCATTGTTAAGTATTTATTATGCTTATTTGTTCGATCTTTAAGACTATATTTTGGTTCACGTTAAAGATTTTAATATTATTTTGGAAATCAAGTACTCTAGTTCTTGGATATTGTAAAGAAACAAATGCAATTTGTAAATTTAATAACGATTATATTTCCCCTCATTATCAATAACATAATTCCGTTTAAGTGGAAAATTGTTGATTCTTCGGGCGTTAAATTCTTCAGGTTTCGATTCAATGATACTT